TGTACCTACACAAAGGAAAAGTTAGTAACAAAAATTCTCACAACTGTGTGTGTGTGTGTGTGTCTGTGTGTATACCTTGTTGTGCTCTCGTGTTTGAGCTCAACCTATGGATTGGCGGTCCTCTATCACTCTTGATGATCTCACAAGAATTTGCCTTTTACTGGCTTCAATAGGCCTAATAAGTGCAACTTGTGAGAGTACTTCTTTTTTCTCGTGACCTACTTGAGGAACAAACAATTAAAAGCAAAAACTTAAGTGAATCAAATGTAAGTGATCTCAAAATCAAACCAAACCAATTTGTAGCACCCTTGTGTCGATGTGAGTAGTCCAAACTTGCTGGACAAAATCACAATCAAACAAAACAAATCGCAATATCCAAACAATCAAGAACTCTAGTTTACCACTTGAATCCTATTTTGTACCACTTGAATCCAATAGGGTTCCAACCTGCAATTCTTCAAATTAAATCTTCAATTACAGCAAAAGCAACCCAAGAATCTCAAACAAACAACAAATTTCACTCAATTAGGGTTAATTGCAACCAATTTGATCAATTGCATCAAGAACACAAAACCCTAATCCCCAAATTCCCAAAATTCCGATAACAGAACTGATTTTTTTTTTAATTTTTTAATATTTTCCCAGAAAGATCACAACATAAGAACCCTAAATCTTAAATTTCAAGGCTTTCTGACCACTAACGAATCCAGAACAAAAATCAGAACTTTCTGGTCGATTTATTTTTTTTGATATTTTTCGATATAACCTTAATGTATGAGGACTCCAAATCTGGATTTTCAAAGCAATCGGAGTTATAATGAAGCGGGAAATCAATTCATAAGTTTCTATATAAGGCCAACAATAGCTCTTGTAAAAGTGAAGTTGTGTTGATTAATAAAGTTGAGGTTTATACACCCAAATTGATTATTCTTAGCTTCATTGTTCTAGTTTGAGCAAACTTAGGGTTCTTCAATCTTGTAGAGTCCTAGCAAACAATTAGGTTGTGATTGCTTAATTGTTTGTGAATCTTGTGATCTTAGGAGTTCAATTGCAGGTCTAATTGGGAGCCTAAGTCCGACAAGAGAAGAGGAAAAGCTTTGTGAAGGTTGTCAACATACACATCTTGGAGTTGAAGAATATCAAGTTGATTCTTGGCGGGTCTCAAGGATAGGTTTGAATCTAAAACCCCTAGATTCGTATCAATCCTAGCTTTTGCTTCCTTCTTAGACATAAGGTAGCGAAGTGCAGCATGATCAGAATTAACTACCACCTTAGATCCCAAGATGTATGACCGCAATTTCTCCAAAGCAAAAACAACGACAAGCATCTCTTTCTCGGTGGTTGTGTAGTTCTTTTGGGTAGAATCTAGGGTTCTCGAAGCATAGTAGATGACATGAGGTATCTTTTCTACTCTCTGACCTAAAACAGCTCCAATGGCTATATCGCTTGCATTACACATGATCTCGAAAGGTAGATTCCAATCAGGTGGCTTCACAATTGGAGTGGTAGTGAGGGCGACCTTCAACTTGTCAAAAGCTTCCTTAAAATCATCTCCAAACTCGAATTCAACTTCTTTTTGTAGCAATCTACACAGTGGGGCAGAGATCTTCGAAAAATCCTTAATGAATCTTATATAGAAACCAGTATGTCCTAAGAATGAGTGAATGTCTATGACGCAAGTTGGATAAGGCAAATTTTGAACAACATTAACCTTTGCTTTATCAACTTGCAATCCATCCTTCGAAACCACATGACCTAGTACAATGCCTTGTTCTGCCATGAAATGGCATTTCTCAGCATTTAATACTAGTTTGGTCTCAACACATCTTCTCAATACAAGGTCTACATTATGCAGCCACTTATCAAAGTTATCTCCATAAATTGTGAAATCATCCATAAAGACCTCAATTCTATCTCCTACGTTATCTTGAGAGATGCTCAATCATACACCTTTGAAAAGTCGCAGGTGCATTACATAGACCAAAAGGCACTCTAGTGTAGGTATATGTATCGTATGGGCATGTGAAAGTGGTTTTCTCTTTTGATCTTTAGGGGCGATTGGAATTTGGAAGTATCCTGAGTACCCATCGGGAAAACAGTAGTAGGCTCGGCAAGATAACCTCTCCAACATCTAATCAATGAATGGTAGTGGGAAATGGTCTTTCCTTGTAGTAGAGTTCAACTTTCTCTAGTCGATGCACACTCTCCATCCATTTTGCAATCTTTAGGAACTAACTCTCCATCCTTGTTCTCCACAACGGTGAATCCAGACTTTTTTAATACGACTTGGACAGGGTTGACCCATTTACTATCTAAGATGGCGTAGATAAGACCAGCTCCAAGCAGCTTAAGAACTTCTTCCTTGACTACTTCAGCTAAATTGGGATTAAATCTTCTTTGTGGTTGCCTAACTTGAACATCATTATCTTCTAATCGAATCATATGCATGCACAGAAGGATTGATTCCCTTGATATCAACGATTGTCCATCCAATAGCTTCCTTGTTTTCCTTCAAGGCTCTGGTCAACTTCTCTTCTTGCAAATCAGTTAGCTTACTTGAGATGATCACAGGAAATGTCTCATTGTCTTCAAGGAAAGCATACTTCAAATCTTCAGGAAGTGGCTTCAATTGGACTTCAGGAGGTTGCTAGATGGAAGGTAAAGGCATAGGCATAGGCTTTGGTTCCAAACGAACATAAGAAACCAATACCTTGTCTTCGACTTTAGGAAGTGATTCAAGATCATGGATTGTGTCTTCCACTTTTTCCGATAGCTTCACTTCTTTTTCTTTTTCCCTTTCCTTGTTCAAGCTATTCATAAAGATTGTTTCGAGCTCATCATCATCATTGAGTGAATTAACTTGTTCAACAAGAAGATTAATCTCATCAATAGCAAAAACAAAATGTTTTTCAACAGGATATTTCATGACTTTATAAATATTGAATTCAACAACTTCCCCATCAAATTCCATGCTAAGCATTCCATCGTGCACATTGATTCTGGTCTTCGCGGTCCTCAAGAAGGGTCTTCCTAATAGCAGCGGCATATGAGGAAAATCATGATCGTCCTCATTCATTCGTAGGATGTAGAAATATGCAAGAAAAAACAAATTTGTCCACCTGCACTAAAACATCCTCAACCAAGCCTTCAGGATAAATGTTAGTTCTATCGGCTAGTTGAATGATAAGTTTAGTCTTAACCATAGGACCTAAGCTTAATTTCATGTAGATATTAAGTTTAATCTTAACCATAGGACCTAAGCTTAATTTCATGTAGATAGAGTATGGCATGATCATTTCCTAAATCACACATTGCTTTCTTTATTTTCTTACCTCCTATATTACATGGAATAGAAAATGATCCTATCCTTGCATTTATGGGGTAATTTTCTTTGAAAAGCAGCAGAAACATTCTCATTCATACATACTTTATCTCTATTGATGCGCCCAAGGCTGATTATGGAGAGCATGGAGAGGATGTGCATGGGCTTCATGGAGGCATTAAGATGGTAGTAGACCAAGGAGATCGAGATGCACTTGCACCAAAGCTCAACAAGATGGTGTTCGACCCATTAAGCTTTGCCTGATGGTCCAATGACAAAGATCAAGAGCTAAGAAGTTCAAGGAGGCACTGATGGGCTTTGTTCGAACCCATCTTAAAGATATGAAGTTCTTTGAAGTTCAATTGAAGACATTTGGAGATGATTTGAGCAAGGAAAAACCACCAAAAGTCAAGCTCATTACTTTGCTTGCTATTGAAAATGAAGAACAACTTCTGCCCAGAACTTGGAGAACTTCTGCCTAGAACTTGGTCTGTTGAAAAGAAGTAAGAATTGCACGACAATTTCGGCCCAGATCTTGTGCAACTCCAGGACAGAAGTTGTTGCGGAATTTGCCTTTGTTTTATTATTCCTTTTTTTCTAGTTGGGCCTGGACTAGTATGTTAGTCGCCCATAAGCTTTTATTTTGTTTATGACCGAACCCTAAGGACTATATAAAGGATTCAATCACCTCTTGTAAACCTAAGTTAAGTTCATAATTAGATTTTGAGTATTCTCTTTTGTGAGTTTAGCTTCATTGTTCTAGTTTGAACATACTTAGGATTTCTTCAATCTTGTAGTGTCCTAGCAAACAATTAGGTAGTGATTACTTAATTGTGAATCTTGTGTTCTTAGTTTGTCTATTGCATGTCTAATAGATCATCTAGGGCCGACGAAAGAAGATTGGTTCTTTGTGAAGGTTATCGACTTCGTAACAAAATCTAGAAGTTTGGTGATTCAAGTTGATCATTGGCAGGTCGTGATGGTGGATTTGAACTAATAACAACTAGATTGTTATCATTTGGTATCAGAGCTTAGGTTTTCATCTTCAATCGGTTAAATCTATCCATCTATCCATCATTCATCAACCTTTCTTCCAACATCGCAGAAAGCTCAAGGTAGATTTCTGATTTAATTTTTTATTTTTCTTCTACATTCAATATTGGTGCGAATTGCTTGAAATTTTAGATTTAGGGTTTTTACACTATTATCTTCCGTAGAAAAATAGTGAAAATTAAAAAAAAAAGCTGCGAAATTGTGATTATTTGGGGATTAGGGTTTGCATCTTGCAATTGACCTTAATTGAAGAAATTGAAAGCTTTGTGTGTAGATTTGGGAAGCTGCTGCTGCAATTAAAGAGTGAATTCAACACATCAATAGTTTTCAAGTTTGAAGCTTATCAAGATCCAATTTGGATTTCTAGGGTTTTGGATTTGGGTTTTTAAGAGTTGTGCGATTAGGTTGATTTGTTCTCAATTGAACAAATCAAAAGTGTTATTTGTTGATTCCAAAAGTTGCTTCGAAATTGAGTTCTTCAAGTTTGGTTTGCTTTCATGATTACTACTTTAGGTTTTACCTTAAGTTTTTGCTACTAAATATTTGTTCCTCAAGTAGGTCACGAGAAGAGCGATTTAATCCACCACGAAGGAGACAATTGGGTGTTGAATTAGTTGATGAAGCTATGCGAGAGCCTCGAGCTCTCAGGGCAGCCGCTAGGAGAGGTCCATTAGATCGATTGAGGGAGCAAGAAGCTGGAGGAGAAGCTTATTTGGATAACTTGCGGCCAAGGTGATTTGGTGATAGAGATGAGCCAAAAGACAATATCAAGTACAAGATTCCTAAGTTCAATGGAAGGGGTATTCCAGAGACAATGAAGGTACCAATTGCTATCATTGAGTTTGTTGAGAATGCTTTAAATTGGTGGAATCAATTGGTACAAGTTAGGACGCGAAATAGAGAAAGACCAATTGATATATGGGCTGATTTGAAGAGTGCTATGAGGAGGATATTTGTGCCAAGTTACTATATTAACTCTCTATACCAACGGCTGCAAGCTTTGAGACAAGGGTCTAAGAGTGTTGATGAGTATTATGCAGAGATGATGTTGTTAATGTCTAGGGATGAAGTTGAAGAAGCTCCACAAGCTAATATGGCAAAAGTTTCTTGCTAGATTGAATAGAGAGATTCATGACATTGTTGAGATGCAACAACATTATGATTTAGAGGAGATGTTGCAAAATGCATTGAAGGCTGAGGGTCAAGTGAAGAAGAATAGTTCGGCCAAGAAGAGCTTCACATCATCTAGTAGGTCATGGAAAACTCCTTACAAGAAAGATGAAAGAATGCCATACAAGGAAAAAGAGAGTTTGTAGAAGGAGCTCACTAGTCCTAAAACCGAAAGTAAGGGTTCTAGTTCATCATCTAAATCTCATATTAAGTGCTTTAAGTGTCAAGGGTTTGGACATTATGCTAAAGATTGTATCAATAAGAAGGTGATGTACTTTAATCAGCATGGTGAGCTTTTGAGTGAAGAGGAAGGTGATTTTAAACTAGACTCTAGTGGGGATGGAGATGATGATATGGACGATGATAAGGCTGCAATTGATGATGATGATGATGGTGAAGAGTTAGCTCCACTTAAGAGTTTGGTGGTTAGGAGAACTTTGAGTGCATATGTGAAGGAAGATGTTAAGAATTAAAGGGAAAATCTATTTCACACTAGATGTTATGTGAATGGAAAACCAAGCAGTATGATTATAGATGGAGGGAGTTGCACAAATATAGCTAGTGTTTATTGGTGAAGGAGTTACAACCACCTACTTCAAAACATCCCAAACCCTACAGCTTAGGTTGGTTCAATGATAAAGAAGAAATTAGGGTTAAGAAGAAAGTTTTATCCACAATAAGGTACCTATTACTTTAATTCCTTTCTCACCTCAAGAAGCTTTAAAAGGTCAATTAAAATTGAGAGAGGATTTTGCTAAAATGGATGCTGAATTTAGGGATAAGGAAAGAAGTAAAACCAAATTTAGAATGAATGATTTTAGCACTGAGACTAGGGCTGTTTTGGGTGAAAGAAAGAGAACTCTAGGAAAGTTAGCAAAGAGTGTATGTAGCTACTAAGAGTGAGATTAAGAGAGCTTTGCATGAGAATTCTTAAATGATCTTATTCTTGTTTCGAAATACACTAATGAGTACTAACAAGTTAGCTGGAAATCTTCCAAGCAATACTGTGTCTCTTTTGAATGAATTTGTAGATGTATTTCTAGAGGAGATTCCTAATGGATTACCACCTATTAGAGGGATTAAACATCAAATTGATTTCACCCTGGATCGCAAATTCCTAATAGGCCAGCCTATAGAACAAATCCTGATGAGACTAAGGAGTTGGAGAAGCAAGTTGGAGAGTTGCTTGAAAAGGGATATGTGCGTGAAAGCCTTTCTCCATGTGTTGTTTCTATGCTACTTGTTCTAAAGAAGGATGGAACTTGGAGAATGTGTCTTGATTGTCGAGCTATCAATAACATAACAGTTAAGTATCATCATCCTATACCTAGACTTGATGATATGTTAGATGAATTGCAAGGTGCTTGTGTATTTTCTAAGATAGATCTTAAGAGTGTGTATCATCAAATTCTCATGAAAGAGGGTGATGAATGGAAGACTACCTTTAAAATTAAACTTGGATTGTATGAATGGTTAGTTATGCCTTTTGGATCGACAAATGCACCTAGTTCTTTTGTGAGTCTAATGAACCATGTTTTAAGAGCTTTTATTGGCAAGTTTGTGGTTGTCTACTTTGATGATATACTTGTGTATAGCCGTTGATAATTTGCATTGTGTATTGGATGTACTTAGGGTTGAGAAATTGTATGCTAACCTCAAGAAGTGCAGCTTTTGCACAAAAAGACTTGTTTTTCTTGGTTTTGTTGTAAGTGCGCAAGGAATTGAAGTAGATGAAGAAAAGATCAAAGCAATTAAAGATTGGCCAATACCCTCCAATATTGGTCAAGTTCGATCCTTTCATGGCTTGGATGGATTTTATAGGAGGTTTGTTAAGGACTTTAGCACCTTGCCAGCACCTATAACAAGTGTGATGAAGAAGAATGCACCATCCGAATGTGGTCCAAAACAACAGGAGGCGTTTGAAACATTAAAGACTAAGCTTACTAATGTCCCTTTACTTGTTTTACCTAATTTTAACTCCACTTTTGAAATTGAATGTGATGCTTCTAGGTAGGAATTGGAGCTGTTTTGATGCAAGGAGGGAAGCCCGTAGCCTATTTAGTGAAAAGTTGAATGGGACTGCATTAAACTATCCAACCTATGATAAAGAATTGTATGCACTTGTTCGTGCATTACAAACTTGGTAGCACTACTTGTGGCCTAAAGAGTTCATGGTTCATACAGACCATGAGATTTTGAAGTATTTGATGGGCCAAAGAAAGTTGAACAAGAGGCATGCTAAGTGGATGGAGCTCATAGAGTCTTTTCCCTATGTTGTGAGATAAAAGAAACGTAAAGAGAATGTAGTGGCTGATGCACTATCAAGGAGGTATGTATTGGTTTCCACACTTGAATCTAAATTGCTAGGATTTGAGTACATAAGAACTTGTATGCTATGGATTTTTACTTTAGTGAAATCTATTTGGCATGTGTGAAATTTGGTTTTGGAAAGTGTTATATGCATGCTGAATTTTTGTTTAAAGAATCTAGATTATGTATTCATTCTTGTTCTATGCGTGAGTTGTTAGTAAGGGAATCGCATGAGGGGGGATTGATGGGTCATTTTGGTGTTGATCGAACATATGAAATCTTGCATGAACACTTCTTTTGGCCTAAGATGTGACATGATGTAGAAAAGCATGTTTCTAGTTGTATTGTTTGTTTGCAAGCTAAGTCTATATCTAAACCTCAAAAGACCTATTCCTCATGAACCTTGGACACACATTAATATGGACTTTGTGTAAGGGTTGCCTAGGTCTAAAAGGGGGAGGGATTCTGTATTTGTCGTGGTTGATAGGTTTTCTAAAGTGGCACATTTTATTGCATGTACAAAGACTGATGATGCCATAAATGTAGCTGACTTGTTCTTTAGAGAGATAGTTAGATTACATGGGATGCCTAAAACCATTGTGTCTGATAGAGATGCCGAGTTATTAAGCCACTTTTGGAGGACTTTATGGATTAAGCTACGAACAAATTGATGTTTTCAACAACATATCATCCTCAAAAGGATGGACAAACTGAAGTTGTCAATAGAACTTTATCTACCTTGTTTAGGGCTTTAATTAAAAAGAACTCAAGACTTGGGAGGAATGCTTGCCGCATGTTGAATTTGTATATAATATGAGTATACATAATACTACTGGATATTCACCTTTTGAAATTGTGTATAGTTTTAACATTTTGATTCCTTTTGGATTTGATGAGTTTACATTTGAGTGTGCAAGTTGACATGGATGGCAAAAGAAAGGCTGAATTTGTTAAGGATCTTCATGAGAAAGTGCGTGCCAACATTGAGAAGAAAACACAGCATTACATGAGGATGCCTAACAAGGGACGCAAGGAAGTAATCTTTGAGCCTGGAGATTGGGTGTGGTTGCATTTAAGGAAGGTGAGATTTCGTGATAAAAGGAGATCTAAGTTTTACCACATGGAGATGGTCCATTCCAAGTGTTGGAAAGGATTAATAAGAATGCCTACAAGCTGGATCTTCATAGTGAGTATGGTAATATAAGTGGTTCTTTAAGGGGGCGTTTGGATTGGGGTTATGTAAACTTAACCCCGTAATGTGACCCCTGTAATGTGATATTAACTAGTTTGGTTTACAGGAATCGTACATTACCGAGTAATACAATTACCGTGCCACGTCAGCTTTTTGGCCACATTACCGGGAATGTTAATACCGACTCCCCCTTAGGTATTGTGACATTATCGAGTTGCTTCCTTATTTTGGACAAAATAGCCCTCACTAATTAGCATGTTATGACTTGGTTGCCCTCAGTTTTCAAGTTTATTACATTGAACCATCATATTACCTAATTTTCCAATGTTTTATTCTTTGACACATTTTTTTCTTCTCTCCAAACCCTAGCTGCTCTCTTATCCTTCTTCTTCTCTCTGCAAATCCCTCTGTTCTACCGTATATTTGCGATTTCGGAGTTTAGGTTGCTTCTTCGATTTCATTTTCTTCAAAGATTCGAACGTTTGCGGCACTTGCTTCGGTCAGTTCATGTTTGAAAATTTTTTATCCTTGATTTCTTTTTTTCCTTTGCTTCTGGTTGTTGTGCTTTGCTTTGGTTTGGTTATGGTTTCGTTAGTTTCATTAATTGTGGGTCTTCTAGGGTTTTAGGTTTTGTGTATTATGAAATTCCTTTTTCAAATTAGGGATTTAGGTTTTAAAATTTGGGGATTTTTATTCGGTATAAATATTTGTTGTAAAAATGGGGTTGTAGATTAAAAATTGGGGATTTTAATTCGGTCATACTTGCCAAGATTGTATTTCTTCTGTGTGCAAAATTCTAGTCTCGATTTCTTGCATTTTACTTTTCGTTTTTGGAGTTAAAAAATGGATTCATGTTCTATGCGCATTTCCTTTGTTTTCCTAATTCTTGCATTATTGTAAATATAATATGTTTCCTTTAGCATTTTATTACTCATGTTGTTAATGTTAAAAGTTAACATGATAGGGTGACATTAGGTTTAGGGCCTCTCTTACGCCCATTGGGTTGAAGAAAGATTGGGTTGAAAACAAGTTAGTAATAGATTGAGATTTGAGAATGTGTTCTGGGGAATAGTTGATATCATTCTATACTTTTCAAGTGATTTAGCGTTGTTTTAGTAACTTTTTTATTGGTATTAGAATGAGAAAATATTGATGTTAACATGGTTGTTTTTCCTTTTATATATAGATGGCAAATCATAGGCCTAATGATAGGAGATTATGGACTGTTGAGGAAGAACGTGCATTACTACAATGCATGACAGACATTGTTGAACAAGGGGCAATTAATATCGATATTGATAGGCTTGTAACAATGATGGGGCATAAGATGCCTAATTGTGGACTTAGGAAAGTGTATATTCATAGTAAGGTGAGATGTCTTAAAAGGCATTATTTTGCTATCGATAAACTGTTGCAAGCTCCATATGCGTTTACTTGGGATAAAGAAAATCATAAGTCTATTGGAGATCAAGCTGCCATGGACATGTGGTCTCAGGTAATAATTTGATTAATAATTAGTTTACAATAAGAACTAGTCTTGAATTATAGTTTGATTGTTAATGGATTTTGGTTGTTTAGGGGAATAATCCATATGGTGGGTGGGTTAGAAACAAGCCTTTTCTTTGGTTCCTGGAGTTGCAGTATGTCTTTTCCAAGCAACTTGAAATTTTTCCGCGTTCCCAAGTGCAAGAGGATGATGATGGTGCTAATGTTGAAGGAGAGAATGATGATTAAATAGATTTAGATACTTCAAGTGTTGTTAGTACTATGATAAGTTTAGGACTTCAAAAACTTGGTTTGCTTTATATTTATCTCTCATTTTCTTGATGAACTTAACGAGCATCAAACTTTTTATGCTTTTATAAGTAGTACTTATTTATCTATTTTTAGTATTTGATAATTCTTCTTTTATATTTTGCTATGTTTGATTAGGGTAAAAATGGTTGGAAAATATTATGTTGTGTTTGATGGACGTAAGCCGGGTATTTATAATACTTGAGATGAAGCAAAGTTACAAGTATTAAGTTATCGAGGTACCAAACATAAGATGTATAAGGATCGTAGGGATGTCGAAAATGCATTTCTTGAGTATTGGAGCTTGAATAAGAATGAGAATGAGGTTCATTGGAATGCCGAAACTCCCACACTCAATGGTGCAATTGAGTCCCCATTTCACAAGGGTTTAATTATAGGATTTATTTTTGGTGTGTTCACCACTTTACTTATTTTGTATGTAGGGAAATGAAATTTCATTGCCTTGATGGCGGTGAATATTATTATGTTAAATATTATTATGTTAAAAAAATGTATGAAATTTTAAACTAATGATGTTAAATTTGGGTTAATTAGCTATTGTTGTTGGATTGACTTGTGTATCCAATTTGGGTTGTTTTTTCCAGGACTTAGGCATTTTTTGTGTGTCCAATTAACTAGTCAAAGCAAGGGCATTTATGTAATCTTGTTTTTATTACTGACAAAAATTATTGAAAACTAAACGGGTGTAAAACATTACCCCGGAATCCTAACCAAACAGAATTAGGTGCACATTCCTAGGTAATATTTGGCAGTAATCTTATTACAATCGGTAATGTTGCATGCCCCCAATCCAAACACCCCCTTAATGTTGCTGACTAGTCTCTTTTTGATAATGATGCAGATTTGAGAACAAATCTTCTTCAAGGGAGAGGTGATATGAATCTAGTTGTGATAGATTCGAATCCACCTTCAAAATCCTCCAAAGATTAAATTGAAAACACCAACATCTAGACTTGTTGAAAATCGATAACCTTAACCAAGCTCTCTTCTTCTTTAGTCGGCCTTAGATGATTAATTAGACCTGCAATTAAAAACCTAAGATCACAAGATTCACAAACAACTTAGTAATCACTACCTAATTGTTTTCTAGGACTCTACAAGATTGAAGAAATCCTAAGTATGTTCAAACTAGAACAATGAAGATAAATTCTCAAGGTGAACAAACACTCAATTGATTGATAAACTTAACTTGTTTTTATAAGAGGTATTCGAACCCTTATATAGTGATAGGGTCGACCAAACAACAAATTAAAACCCTATGGGGCGTCCAAACATAAAGGCTAGGTAAAACTAGTCCAAGCCCAACTAGGAAAAGGAAATAAAAGACAAAATTAAACAAGGATTGGACTTAATTAAACAAGGCGCAACCCAAACAACATCCAAACTTAAAAATAAGCTAAACTAGGATAAGAGAAAGGCCTCGTATGGCTGAATTGAACTATGCTAGCCTATTAGGTATCAATTGCAAGCAAAGTGATGAGCTTGACTCTGTGTGGTAATTCCTTGCGCAAATCATCTTCAAATGGCTTCAGTTGAACTTTAATGGATTTCATATCTTCAAGATGAGTTCAAACAAAGCCCATGTGTGTCTCCTTGAACTTCTTAGCTCTTGATCTTGTCCTTAGACCATCAGGTAAGCTTAATTGATTAAATGGCATCTTTTTGGTGCTTGGAACATGATCATCGATATCTCCATGATCTCCATGCATCTTCATGCCTCCATGTAGCCCTTGCACAACCTTTCTGTGCTCTCCATAGTCATCTTCAAGTCTATGATCAACCTTGGGTGCATCATCCTTCCCCCTTGAAGAAGATTTGTCCTCAAATCTGCATCATTATCAAAAAGAGACAAGTCAGCAACATTAAAGGAAGCACTTACATTACCATACTCACTAGGAAGATCTAGCTTGTAGGCATTGTTGTTAATCCTCTCCAACACTTGGAATGGACGATCTCTACGAGGTAAAACCTTGGATTTCCTCTTCTCAGGAAATCTTTCTTTCCTTAGATGTAACCACACCAAATCTCCAGGGACACCCAATCTAGTAATCTTTGAGCCATCCATGTCAACTCTCAGAAATGCATATAAGTCTTTATCATATGTTGGATAGTTCAATGCAGTCCCATTCAATTTCTCACTAAATTAAGCTACGGGCTTCCCTCCTTGCATCAAAACATCTCCAATACCTACACCAGAAGCATCACATTCAATTTCAAATGTAGAATTAAAGTTAGGTAAAACAAGCAAATGAGCATTAGTAAGCTTAGTCTTTAATGTCTCAAATGCTTCTTGTTGTTCTGGACCCCATTTGAATGGTGCATTCTTCTTCATCACACTTGTTATAGGTGTTGCCAAGGTGCTAAAGTCCTTAAAAAACCTCCTATAAAATCAAGCCAAGCCATGGAATGATCTCACTTGACCAACATTGGTTGGTGTTGGCCAATCATTGATGGCTTTGATCTTTTCTTCATAAGCGCACTCACGAAAAAACCAAGGAAAATAAGCCTATTTGTGCAAAAGGTGCAGTTCTTAAGGTTAGCATACAACTTCTCAACCCTAAGTACATCCAATACACATCTCAAGTGCTCAACATGATCCTCTAGAGTGTGGCTGTATACAAGTATAAAATCAAAGTAGACATCAACAAACTTGCCAATAAAACCTCTTAAAACATGGTTCATTAGCCTCATAAAAGTACTAGGTGCATTAGTTAATCCAAAAGGCATAACTAACCATTCATACAATCCAAGTTTAGTTTTAAAGGTAGTTTTCCATTCATCTCTCTCTTTCATGCGAATTTGATGGTACCCACTCTTAGGATCTATCTTACCAAATACACAAGCACCATGCAATTCATCTAGCATATCATCTAACCTAGGTATAGGATAACGATACTTAACTGTTATGTTGGTGATAGCTCTACAATCAACACACATTCTCCAAGTTCCATCCTTTTTAAGAGCGAGAAATGATCGGTCGTTAGCAAATCACAAAATAATCCCCACAATTTCTTAACTAAGTAGATAGGGCAAGTTGGGGTCGAATCCCACAGAGAAGGGGGATAGACTTATCCAAACAATAAATCTTCACTAAGAATCACCCAAAAACAAAGGGGATTAAAAATACCAATCATAAAGAAAATAATTAAACTAAAAATAAAGCAAACTAAAGTAAATCTAAACTATAGGCAATTAATAAAGAAAACAATAATAAGAAAGCATACTTCTTCTCCAATGTAGAAATCAATCAAATTAACTATAGATCCTTGATTCAAAAGATGAATTTAATATTTTATTCCCAATTAGATAATTGGTCTAGGGAAACCCTAACATGCAAATATAGATAAAGCTCTTGATCCAGTGTGAATTATCCCTTTTATTCTTTAAACAATTAACTCTTGATCCAGTATGATAATTGCCTAAGAACAAAGCATTAAGAACAATTATAATTATTCACGCATGCATAACAAGCATAACCAAACTTATTAAAATAAGGTTTATTAATCCCTTGGAAGGAAGATCCTTCGCTTCCAATTGTTACCAAACAATCAAACCCGAAGATCCTTCAAAGCTTGATTTAACAATAGATCTATCATATCAATAGCTGCAGTTCTAAATCAACAATCATCAAGATCATAAAATAAAATAGAAATTAAAAACTATCAATCAAGAACAAATATCAAATTATAAGCACACAAATCTCACAATAATTAATTGATTACATTCACCAAAGGATAAGAAGTTTTAAGAATTTAGCTACTCATGGATTTGGAAAAATCCATGAGAGGCATAAGAAAACTTACAAAACAAAGGGCCGAAAGTCTGGTTGATCTTGGGCATGGTTTCTTCTTGCTCAATTTGCATCGCAAGATTTCCCCTTAGCAAAACCCTAGGGATATCGCACCCCTCTTCAAGATAAAGGGGTGTCGACACTCCTTGAAACTAAAAGGAAAACTAAAACTAAAAGAAAAATAGATGAAAAGAAAATTGTATCTAGATGTAGAATTGTGTATGATATGATTTCTAGGGTTAACATAAGGTAGTTATTTATAGTGGAAGAGCCTAGGGCGGTTTAGAAGTCTTAACTTGGTGTCCAAGTTGGATTAAAAGTATTCCTAGAGCAAAATTCTGACTTCAGGAAATTTCTGGAATCGTGCAGTAACTCCGACAGCAGTTTCAGACTTGAAGATGGTAGAATTTGGCTTCGGGCTTCAAAGCAAAGTAGTAGATCTTAGAGTCCTCTTTCCAACGCATATTGACACGCATTTTTTTGAGGTATGAATCAAAAGTTATGGATTTTTTACCGAGACTGCGCAGAATCCTAATCCAACTAGGATTAGTATTACGGGATTTGAATGTTTCCTTGGGCTTATGCGACACAAATTGGGATTTTAGCTCCAATTGTGGGAATATTTGGGCTGAGTATGATCCCATATAAAATACTAAAAAATTACATGGCTTCAAGGCTTCTCCATAGCATGTCTTCATTCCTTTGCGATTTAAACTCAATCCTCAATTCTTGCTTCTTGAAATAATTCTTCAATGATCTTTAATTCTGGAAATTATCTTCAATTAATCTTCAATCACGAACTTCGAATCTTCACTCAAAATTTCTAAGTCCATATTTGTGTAAAAAGTCATCAAAATAGCTCCAAAAATACTGAAAAACAACAAGTTTCCACTTTTCTTCTCTTCAAGACCTAAAAAACAATTACTTGCAAAATAGGGTTAAATTACACATAAAAATTCCCAAAAGCATAGGAAAATGATCATAAAAATAAGGTTAATTTTGACTCGATCATAATTTCCCCCACACTAAACCTTTGCTAGTCCCTAGCAATTTAGTGTATAAAAACTATGAAAACAAAAATAAAAATAAAAACCATTCTTAAAAAAAAAACAATTTTGAATGCATACAC